CCGCACCGTGCTGCTGTGCAGCCACCTCATTGGAGAGGTCGAGCGCGTCGCCGACCGCGTCGCGATCTTGCGCGCGGGACAAGTCTTGGCGTGCGAGCGGCTCGACGAACTCAAACGCACGTCGGTCGAAGCGACGATCACCATGCACGGCAGCAGCGGCGTCCTCCCCGAGCTGCCCGGAGAAGTGCTCCTCAGCCGCCGCCGCGGCAAGCAATGGCAGGTCCTCTTGCGCGGCGTCGCCGATCACGACTCGCTGTCGTCGCTCGCCGAAAGCGAAACGGTCGTCGCCGTCGATACCCGGACGCCGTCGCTGGAAGAGTTGTTCGTCGCGTACCTGCAATCGGACGGGCCATCCGCGCCGGGAGAGTCCGCCGAGCGCAAACCGCTACCCGTTAGCTGAACCACTAATCTTGTCTGTGGGAGGCGTCTCCAGACGCCTCCCACAATTGTCGCTCCACGCTCAACCATCTCCAAGCATTCCGCGAGGCGACGATGCCCACCGCCACCGCCCTCGGCGCCCCCAACACTCTGCGGCTCGCGAAGCGCTTCTTCTGGAAGGAGTGCCGCCGGCTGCGTGGCTTGGGGGTGGGCGTCTTCCTGTTGGCGACGGCGCTGATGGCGGCGATGGGGCGCCTCATCCCCGATGATCGCGCGCTGTGGACCGCCACGACGCTGATCGCTGTCATCGGCGGCGCGATGCTCGCGGTCGCCGCGGCCGTCACGCTGTTCTCCGTCGAGAAAGAGGAAGGAACGTCGGAACTGCTCGAGCGGCTGCCGCGGAACCTCTCCGCGATGACGATCGGCAAGCTCAGCGCCGCTATGGTTGTCATATCGCTCTGCACGATGGCGCTGGTGGCGATGTCGTTCACGGTCACCGATCGACCCTTCCATTTGGACCGCTTCGTAACGCACTTCTTGCCGCCGACGTTGCTCCTCATCGTTACGGCATTCGTCTGGAGCCTCGTCGCGTCGCTCGCCTGCCCCAACCCGCTGATCGCCGCGGTGCTCGGCATCGCGATGGCGTCGGTGAGCGTCCAGGCAGGCATCTACCTCACCAACCCCGACCTCCGCGCCTACACCGGCGAGGAGTTGGAGGATTCGGCTGCTAGAGGGCTGGCGCTGGCAGGCGTCGGCGCTATCGTCGCCGGTTGGCTGGTGACGCGATGGCCGGCGCCGATGCGGGGACGAAGGGTTGTCGCCGCGGAGTTGGACACGCCGCTAAGCCGCAAGCGGCTGCGTTGGCCGTCGCTCGGATGGGGGCTCTTTGGGCGGTACTTCTGGCAGACGCTGCGGCAGTCGTGGGCGACGGGCGTTGTGGCGATGCTGCTGGGGTTGTTCTTGACGTTCATGTCCGTCCTCATTCCGGAAGGGCTTCTCGAGGCCAACCGCACGTGGCGGTTCTTCTCCGGCGTCGGGCTCCTCTTCGCGCCGGCGCTGCTGGGGGCGGTGGTGTTCCGCGCCGACCAACGTCGCGACGCCTACCGTTTCCTCGCCGAGCACGCCGGCCGGCCGCGTATGCTGTGGCTGGCGCGGAACCTCGTCGGCTTGGCGATCCTTGGGCTGTTCACCGCCTTGCTGGTCGCCGTGTTCCTTGGCGTTTGGTTGTTCATGGTCGGCGTCCCGGGCAGGATCGACTTTGTCTACCAGTACTCAACTACGGCCGGCGTCGATTTTCTACGAGTCGTGCAAGGACTCATCGATGGCAAGCAACTTGCCATCGTCGCCGCTACGGCGGTGCTGACGGCGTACGCCTACGGGCAGTTCTTCTCGCTCGCCCTGCGGAGCGACGTCATCGCCGCGATGCTGGCGCTCGTCGCTTCAATTGTGGTCTTGGGTTGGTCCAGTGTGGTCCTGGCGTGGGAGTTGCCGCCACTGGCATTTCTCCTGCCGCTCGCCATCGGAGCGCTGCTCGCGGCTTGGCTGCGCGTCAGCGACTGGATGTTCGACCGCCGCGGCTGGTGGCGCTGGGCGGCGCCGGTCGCGGCGCTATTGGCGCCAGCCGCCTGCTTGCTCCCCATCGTGCCGGCGGAACGGCTCGCGCAAGTCAACAGGCCGACGCCGCTCATCGCGACCAGTGGCCTAGTTCTCATGCACCCGGAGGTCCGGGTTGAGAGCGTACCCCCTCAAGTCGGCTCTTGGCACGTAAGGAGCGGTGTGAGGTTTGACGAGCTTGTGAGCCAAACGCAGGAGGAGATGCGGAAAGGCAAGGAGGTAGCGGACGCCTATGTTCGGCTGGAAGCTGAGGAAGTCGCTTTCGACGAGGTTGAAGATGAGGGTGATGAGGAGCCGGCTTTCGACTTTGGCCTTAGAACCGTTATCCGGCCCGCTCACGGAAGACTGGATGGCGACGCCCTCGACGAGTTCCTGCGTCTAAGCCGGGTCCGATGCCGCTTGATGTCGGGGCACGGCGGCGACTTGCAGAAGATTGCACTGATGGATTCGACCGACGCCGAGGAACCCATCGACCTCGACGGCCGGCTCGAGCGGCTCCTTGCTTGCCGGCGAGTTTCGATACAGGGGGGAGAGAACCTGGGCCTGCTACATGAGGGGTCTTTCTCTGTTTACCTGGCCGATGAGTTTGTCGATTGGGCGAACGAAGCAGGCCAAACCACCGAGCGGATCGGCAAGGCGATCCGCGGTCTGCGTGAAGCCGAGGCGATGTCGGCGGGGCCGATCGGGCACCTGATGAACGATCACTTTCAGGCGCAGGCGATCATCAATGGCGAAGCGAGCCCGCAGTTTCTTCAAGGCACGGACCCGAGACCTCGGGTCGATCAGTGGCTGGCTTACCTCGCCAACGAGTCGCTCGACTTCGAACGCGAACGGGCGCTAAAGGCGCTCGACCTGCTGGCCGCGTACGACGCGGCGTTCCTCGGCGAAGGGATGCGCGCCCTGACTTCGAACAAGCCCAACCTGAACTGGCTCCAGCGCCATTCCATCGACGACGCTCAACTCGTCGGCGTTCTGGCGCCCGACGTGCCCCAGCGTGGCGCCTACTACTTCGGGGACCTAACGACGATCGCCGGCGCGCGGACAAGTCGACTCGTGAGTCAGGTGTTCAACAACCAACACGTGCTCTCCGACGCGTTGCGACGTTGGATGGCCGGCGTCGCTTGGCGCCGCGCCGAGCGCGTGCGGCTTGCGCTGATTGCTTATCACCTCGAACACGACGAGTATCCCGAGAGCCTGGAACCGCTCGTCGGGTCCTACTTGGGCCGTGAAGAGATTCGCGACCCGTACACGGGCGAGCCGTTCGGCTGGAAGCCGGACGGATTCGATTTGCCGCTTGCTGAAGAGTATCGAGGCGAGATCGTAAAGCAGATTGCACCGATCGGGATACCGGCGCTGTGGTGCGGCGGCGGTGCCTTGGCGGCGCCCGTCAAACGCCAGGCGCGGGTCGGTAAACCCGGTGCAGGGGGTGTCTCCGACGACAACCGCCCGACCGCAACGGTCATGTCCCTGCAACCCGTTGAGGAAATCTACTTCTGGCCGACGGGCGCGTTCTGGATGCCGGCGCCGAAGTGAGCCGCCTGCGATGTGGTGAAAGCTATGCCGAGGCAAACCGGGGGCTAAGGCCCCGCGGCTGATAACGCACGCCGTCGGGATCAGCCGGCACGCGTTAGCGTCCG